TGTCAGCAGTTGAGGCAAGGGCAGTTTCTTTGCCCAGTGGCTAACTTTGTCACAAAGAAAGCAAACTCCATATGGAGGTTCTTTGATGCCCATCATCCTTTTATGAAGTAGATTGGTGCTGCCAGGAGCAGATGTGTCTCATTGTTATTAAACATCTTAAATGCCATATTCTGTAGCTCTCTGAAGTGTATGAAGACAACCTGCCTATGTAAAATATATCTTTCTTTGACCTTGAAAACATAGTTAACATGACTTTAAGTTTGATTGTTATAGGTGGCAAACTACTAACCTGCATTTCTTTATTATCCTAAATAGTTTGTAATAATAACTTTCAAGGACTGGAAATTTACATTACATTATTATATGAGCTGCATAGGTACAATACCTTAAACAAGAGTAGAGATGTATGTAAAGTATGATCTAACAAAAATAACCTTAAATTTGTATCAATATACAAAAATCCATACCAATGTAAGACATTTAAGATGAGTAGTTGCTTTTTTAGTTTAAAAGTAGATTCAATAATCTACCCTTTTATCCTATCATCTATATCCCTCCTTTTTCTTTTCATAACAAGATCCCTGAGTCTAATTTTTGTTTAGTTTCCTCCCTGAACATGACCAATAACAACTTGTGAGCAACCCCCACCAAAATCGATGACAAGCATCCATAATCCATTGAATGGCCAAAAACCACCCATCCCACCTCTTGGAAATGTAGGTGTTGTGTTCTCTAGACTTCTTCCTGTTGTCTGGGGGGTGATGACATCTTTGGTGGAACCTGAGAAAATTGGGATAATGGTCAAGTCCTGGAAAAACCAGTCCAGTCTCTGTGCAATGGGAATGCACAAGGCTTATCTGTAGTCCTGGCTGGAGTAGTCTATGAAGCTGGACCATCTTAGCTAGCAGCCTTGAAGCTGTTCTGGATGTAGAACTTTGAGGAAACTGCAACAGAGGCATTCTGAGAGACTGGGCTGCCTGTTTTCATTGGTGTCTGGTCCCCTTGCTCTGAAAACATACAAACTTTTAAAGGTAACATATATATCTGTATTAACACAAGTATGAACTGTACATTGTACACAAGCCAGCGAAAGATGATGTTTTGTCTTATATTTAAGCAGGTAAAATATATGTTACTTGTCTTGTAGTTTTTTAAGGTTTATTTATGTCTGTAGCCAAGATTTTCAGGGATCTCCCCTGATCAAACCTGTTCCTCTTTAATCTTGAAGGAATCCACAGCCTTTCATTTTCTTATTTTTCTTTTTGTGTCCTGGAACTCACTTTGTAGACCAGGCTGGCCTTGAACTCATTGAGATCCACCTGCCTCTGCCTCTCAAGTGCTGGGACTAAAGGTGTGCACCACCACTGCCCGGCAGCCTTTAATTTTCTGTGGAAACAAAAGTATAACCTCTTCCCCAAAGCAATACATTTTCTGACTTCCATTTTGAAGTTAAGGCATTCCTAAAGTATCTAGGCTGGTTTAATTCAGCAGTCCCTTCCACAGTCCAGTGCCTGTCAGCTGCTGTCATTCTCTGTTCATTAGCATTCAAAAAATTCAAAATCAGCAAGACACCATTTAGGATCTAGACTCTGTGTATTTTCCATCTTTATATGGCTTATCTTTTTTATATTATTTTATTCTCTCTTTAAAGACTTTATCTTATTATTTATAAACTATTTTTTCTATCACTGTCTATATCCATTTTCTTTTCTTTTTTAAGCCTATGCACACTTTTTAAACATACTATAACCTGTTTAGATTTTTTTCCATTTCAATCTGTCTTTACTGAGCATCTATAGCATTCTCTGATCACGTGAGACAAATCTTAAACTGCCATGTCAGCTGCCATACAGCTCAGCTTAACCCATGGCACTGGTGCATGGCACTGATGGCTGTCTCCAGCCTTCAGGCAGCAGCCGGTCTCTGTATGCCACCGAGTCTACTTGAGAGACCATGGTCACCAGGAAGCCATGTTTGACTCCATGTTCTGAACTTTTTTTAAAGCTCTCTCAGGCCTTATGTGGATATACATGGCCCCACATTGGGTGTCATATATAGACAGATTTTTTTTAGGGCTGCCAGCTCACAAAAAATGACATGGAGACTTATTATTAATTATGAAAACTTGACCTTTGCTTAGGCCTGTCCCACTAGCTCTTATAACTTAAATTAACCCACGCGCACACTTCCACAGACCATTGCATGCATGTGCTGCTCAGAGGGCAACTTAGGAAAGTTGGTTCTCTCCTTCCATGTCATCACATGGGTTCTAGGGATTGAACTCAGGTCACCAGACTTGCTGGCAAGTACCTTTACCCCTGTCTAAGTGTCTCACCAGCCTTGAGAGATTCAGACCTTATAGGAAACTGCGGGAGAATCTAGAGCTCATGTGGAAAGCTACCAGGCAAGCCCTCAGCTCAGAGTGATCTTTCCAGCAGGTGGATGAAGGTGGACTGAGAACATGCTACTGGCTTGGTGTTAGACTCAGGAAGCTGCCTTTGGGTCACTGTGAGGAGGGCTGGGAGTGGGAGTCACCTCAGGAACCAGGGGACGGGTGACATACAAGCCTACTTCCTACCCAAGCCATTACTGTCTGCTCCTCCCAGAGCAAGTGACACCACACTAGCCTGGAGTCCCTCCTGACTCATGGCCATGTTGAAAGGTGTTAGGACTCCAGGCCAGTGTAGGAGCCACCCTGTACTCTTGAGATGTCCACTATTGCAGGTGGGTGGGGTGCTCACTGTGTCAGAGAGGTCCAGCCAAGTGACAGTGTTCAAGGCTTTGACTTCCATCTGCTTCATCAATGATGAGTATGGAAGTTTCCAGAATGCATGATGGCTCTGTTAGCATCCCTTTAGGTGTGTCTTCTTTACTCTCTCTTGGAGCTCTGCTATGAGGCACAGGTGCATTAGAAGTGTCAGAGCGTCTTCATTCATTGACTCCTTTCTCAGTGATAAATGTCCCCACTAATCTCTGGTAATTGCTCTGAAGTCACTGGGACAGTAATACAGCCTCTCTGACTTTCTTTCCATGAGTATTTTGTCCATACTAGGTATTTTTCCACTTAACTCTTCTGTGTCTTTATATTTAAAGTAATTTTCTTGGGGCTGGCTGGTTAAGAGCACTTGTTGCTCTTGCAGAGGACCTGAGTTCAGGTCCAGTGCCCACATGGTGGCTCACAACCATCCATAACTCCAGTCTCAAGGCTTCTAATGCCCTCTTCTGACTTCCTCAGGCACCAGGCATGCACATGGTGCACAGACATACATGCAGGCAAACCATTCATACACACAAAATGAATAAATCTAAAGAAAATTAAAGTGATTTTCATATCTTTGGGATTTATTTTATTTTTGGTTTTTCAAGACAGAGTTTCTGTATCACCTTGGCTGTCCTTGAACTTACTGTGTAGAACAGGCTGGCTTCTAACTCAAGGAGATCTGCCTGCCTATGCAAGGCATACACCACCACTGCCCTGCGGATTTATTTTTGAGATAGTCCTTGCTAGTGTAGAACTCTTGGTGATCGTCCTGCCTCAGGCTCCCAAGTGCTAGGATTACAGGTATGGGCTACCACACCTGACAGTTTTCTTATAAACTATACAATTAGAGTTTCCCCTCTTTTCATTCAGTCTAAAAACCCCTGCCTTTAAATAGGACCATGCATGCAGTTTAGAGGATTTTTGTGTAGGGGCAGTTTGATAGTTGAGATAGAGTCTCTTGTAGTCCAGGCTAGCCCTGAACCCATTATGTAGTTGAGAGTGATCTTGAACTCCAGACCCTCCTGCCTCAGCCTCCCAAGTGCTAGGATTGCAGGTGTGTGCCACCAGATCTAGTTTTATGTGGTGCTGGAACCAAACCCAGAGCTTCATACATGCTGGACAAAGCTCCCTGCCAGCTGGGACACATCTCTGGCCCAACATTTGGTGTCATCACTGAGCTGCCTGGATTTAAGCCATCTAGCTTGCTGTCGTCTGCTGATCTCTTCTTTGTCCCCTTCTTTGGATTAATTATTAAAAATGCCATGCCAACCTTGGTGATCCAGACCTATAACCTGGGCACTCGACAGGCAGAGGCAGGAAGATCAGGAGTTCAAGGTCATTTTTGGCTACATAGTAAGTTCAAAGTCAGCTTGGATTGCCTGAGACTGTCTCAAACAAATTCCACTTTTTTTTTTTTCGAGACAGGGTTTCTCTGTGTAGCTTTGCGCCTTTCCTGGATCTCGATCTGTAGACCAGGCTGGCCTTGAACTCACAAAGATCCGCCTGCCTCTGCCTCCTGAGTCCTGGGATTAAAGGCATGCGCCACCACCGCCCGGCAAATTCCACTTATTTTTTACTTAAAAAAAATGAGTCAGGCTGTGGTGGTGCATACCTTTAATCTCAGCACTTGGAGGCCAGCCTGGTCTAAAAAAAAAAAAAAAAGAAAAGAAAAGAAAGAAATGCTGTGGAACAATCCTTTTCTACACTATGAATATGTATTACTCTCATTTGTTAATAAAAAACTGGCAGGCTAGTAGCTGGGCAGAAAGTTAGGTGGGAAAACCAAACTGAGAATGATGGGAAGAAGGAGGTCAGAGTCAGGAGAGATGCCAACCAGTCACTCAGGAAGCAAGACATGCTAGAGGATAGGTAAAGCCATGTGGCAATACATAGATTAATAGAAATGGGTTAATTTAAATGTAAGAGTTAGCTAGTAACAAGCCTGAGCTATCAGCCCAGCATTTATAATTTATATTAAGCCTCTGAGTCAATTATTTGGGAAGTGTGTTAGGATCCTGCCCTCACTCCTGCACATGCGCAGTTCAGGGTCTTGCATCTTACATCATCAGTGTGTGCTGGTGACTACATATGTGCCTCAAAAGCCTGATGCAGACCCCACCCTCTCTCTCTGCTCTCTGCTCTCTCTCTGCTCTGCTTCATCTCTCTCTGCTCTGCTTCCTCCCCCTCCCCCACCATCTTTCTCCCCAGACCTGGCTCTTCTCTTTCCCCTTCCCCCTTTCCCTCCGAATAAAGCTCTAAAAACTAACACTGGGTTCTGTCGTGACCATGATCTTTCCACACAGTAACCAGCACCGCCACCAGCACTGATTATCATCCTTTCAAAGTGGCTGCCAAGTATTTGGGGACAAGCAGGCAGGAAAGAAACATCCGATTACAAAGAAAGGGAGAGATTGAGAGAGAGAGAGAGAGAGAGAGAGAGAGAGAGAGAGAGAGAGAGAGAGAGAGAGAGAGAGAAAGGGAGGGAGGGAGGGAGGAAGGAAGGAAAGAAGGAAGGAAGGAAGGAAGGAAGGAAGGAAGGAAGGAAGGAAGGAAGGAAGGAAGGAAGGAAGGTTGAATCGGTACAAAAAGTCTCCAACAAAGACAGACCCAGAACCTGGGGCTTCACTGCTAAATCTGATCAAATCTAACAGAAGGTAGGCGTGGTAGCTCATGGCAATCCCAGCACCAAGAAGGCTGAGACAGGAGGATTACAGCACCTTGAAGGCAGCCTCAGCTACATAGTAAATTCCAGGCCAGCTTCAGTAACATAATGAAAGTTTTTCTTTAAGAGAGAAAGAAACAGCAGAAGCTGCTTGGTGCGTGTGTCCTGTGCTTGTTCTGCTGTCTCCGTGGAGGTAGGCCCCTGCTGCAAACATGCTCCGACAGATCATTGGGCAGGCCAAGAAGCATCCTAGCTTGATTCCTCTCTTCGTGTTCATTGGAGCAGGAGGTACTGGAGCAGCACTGTATGTGATGCGCCTGGCATTGTTCAATCCAGTTGTCAGCTGGGACAGGAAAAATAACCCAGAGCCTTGGAACAAACTGGGTCCCAATGAACAATATAAGTTCTACTCAGTGAATGTGGACTACAGCAAACTGAAGAAAGAGGGCCCCAACTTCTAAACCATGAAGTTCACCATAAAGCAGCTTATAATGAAGGTCTTTCAGAAGCCATCCGCACAATTTTCCACTTAACCAGGAAATACTCCTCTGAATGCATGAAATCATGTTGATTTTTGGAGTTTCTTACACTGATGAATAAATCTCTGAAACTTAAAAAAAAAGAAAGAAAGACACTTAAAAACAAGAACATAAATTTAAAAAAAGAAAGAAAGAAAAAGAAACTTGTGGTAACCCAACTCCAGGCCCGGTTGTAATATGTATTGCTTTTAGATACATTGTAACTGTCTGCCAGGCACTTTCTTTGACCTGAGTTTGACTTTTGTAGACTTTCGAGTTTCTGCCCTGGGTCACTTTCCTTTCTTTAGGGAATTTTCTTTCTTGTTGCTGACAGGCAGGTCTGCTGATGACTGATATGCTTAGCTTCTTTTGTTTGTTTGTTTATTTGAGACCGGGTCTCTCTAAGTAGCCCCAGCTGTCCTGGAACTCACTGTATAGACCAGACTGGCTTCAGCTCACAGAGATCTGTCTGCCTCTGTGTTGGGATTAAAGAAAGGTGTTTGAAGCCACCTGGCCTCAGCTTTTGTTTTTCTGGAAGAGGCTTTTACTTTCATTTCTTGTTGGACCTTGGACCCCATCCATAGTGCGTTTCTTGCAGCATTTTGGAGCCATCCCATCATCCCCTGGCCACCATAGTTTAAGATGAGGGGTCTCTGAATTCTTGCCATTGTTATAAGCACATAACCTGTCATTTTTCACTTTTTAAGGTTTTCTTCTTATAGTGTGCATGGAGGCACATGCCTATAATCTCAGCATGTGGAAAGCTGAAGCAGAAGACTCTTGAGTTCAAGGCCACTCTGGGTTGCATTATAAGATCCTATATGGAAAAAAAAAGAAAGAAAAGAAATTTTTTTCTATCTCTAGAAGCTCCCTCTTATTTTTTTCCCATCTCTCATTTCTTTCTTCATTATGGTGATCTTTTCCTTTAAATCCTTTAACCCTGCTATACACCTCTATGGACTTTTCTGCCATCTCTCCCTTCCCTGGACCCCCTTCTTCTGCCAGTGTTCCTCCTTCTTTCTGGTTTTTGGCATGTGTAGAACTTCTGACTGGGTGATATCCATCACGGACTTTTCGATGTTCTGTCTCTACCATGTCGTCTTCCTCTAGCGCTGGCCTTTGTTTTCATAGGTACCTTGGTTACCAGCCAATCTGTTTGGTTGGTTTGAAGCCTGTCTTCACGTTCTGCTGTGGTTGACCTGGACTGGCCCTCGATCTGGGGACAACTCAGCTTGCATCTAAGGCTGAAGCTCTATGGAGGCCCCACAGTGGCTCCTCAGTGCTGGATACTTCCTACGCAGGATCTGTCCCTATGGGACCTGGGAATTGCTCAGTTTGCAGCTTTCTTATTTCTCTTTGTGCAGCCTAACAGAGTCCCATCCTACTCTGAAAAGGTGGTGGTCTTATCTGCACGGTTTCCTCTTTTCTAGAGCTTTTCAGACAATTCCTAGCAGAATTCAAACCTCTGAACCCAGTAGTATCACAGTGTGCTGTGTAGGATGCTTGCCTTTCAACAATGATGAGGGATATGACTCCAGGGAGGAACTATGGCCATCACTGGCTTTTCTACCTTTTTTTTTTTTTTTTAAAGAACATTTCTGGTTTCCTTTTCTGTTTTGTAGCTAGAGTTTTCCTGGTCCTGCCTGGCCCACAGTCAGAACAAATCTCTCTCACCTGCCAGTCCCGCAGCTGCTCAGACCCAACGGAGTAAACACACAGAGACTTATATTACTTAAACTGTTTGGCCTAATGGCTCAGGCTTCTTGCTAGCTGTTCTTATATCTTAAATTAACCCATTTCTATTAATCTATAAGTTGCCACATGGCTTATGGCTTACCAGTATCTTTTACATGTTTCTTGTCATGGCAGTGGCTGGCAGTGTCTCTCTGACTCAGCCTTCCACTTCCCAGAATTCTCCTCTCTCCTTTTCCTGCCTATACTGCCTGCCTGGCTATTGGCCAATCAGTGTTTTAGTATGATATAGATATGATAGGATGAAAGGGTAGATTACTGAATTTACTTTTAAAGAACAACTTGTTTAAAATGTTTTACATTGATATGGATTTTAGTTTATTGATACAAGTTTAAAGTTAATTTTGTTATACTGTATATATATTTCTATTCTTGTTTGAGGTATTATGTTTATGTAACTTATTTAGATTGTAATGGATAATTAAGAAATACAGATTAATAATTAGTCTTCTATGATAGTCAAACTTGTACCATGTTAGTTAAGTTTTCCAGGTATACATAGATATAATTCAGTTAAGTAGGTAATCTTCAAACACTTCAAAGACCTACAGAATATGGCATTTAAAATGTTTTAAAAATTTAGACTTTCTGGACAATGAGACATGTCTGATCCTGGCAGCACCGATTTACTTCAGAGAGGAGGATGGGCATCGAAGACACTCCATATGGAGTTTATCTTCTTCTTGGCAAAAATAGCCATTTGGGCAAGAAACTGTTCTTGCCTGGACTGCTTGATCGACTGGACATGGAGGACCCATAGGAATGTGACCACTGAACTTTGCTTGACAAAATGGTCCTTCAGGTTTCTGCTTTACAGAGGAAACTGCCAGACATTCTACAGGACACTGAGAAAAATGACTGAGAGACTCTAGGCCTGTGGGATGAAGACAGATGCCCCAACTTTACAAAAGAACTTTGGATGCCTGTCCAGACTGTCAGCTGTCTCTGTCTACTCTTGCAAGACTCCTGAAAGTTGCTTGAATCCTTTTCCCATTTCTCAGGTAATATTATATCCTTCTGAGGTCTTTGACGTAGTTGAAGCTAGATAGTTACAATTTTCCTTAGTTACGATAAAAGATAAGTTAGATATGAAACCTTAGACTCACAAATATAGGATAGATAGGATATCTTCTTTAATTTTGCCAAATACAAATAGACTAGATATTATAAATAGACTAGACAGTATAACTGTAATTCTTGCTTGATAATTGTTTTGTTATCTGTAATTTTACTATGTGAAAGTTAAAATCTTCCTTTTTGGAAAAAAAAGAAAAGGGGAAGTGCTGTGGGATATTCTGTATGTTAAATGTGTTGCTCTGATTGGTTAATAAATAAAACACTGATTGGCCAGTAGCCAGGCAGGCAGTATAGGCGGGACAAGGAGAGAGGAGAATTCTGGGAAGTGGAAGGCTGAGTCAGAGAGACACTGCCAGCCGCTGCCATGACAAGCAACATGTAAAAGATACCGATAAGCCACAAGCCACGTGGCAACTTATAGATTAATAGAAATGGGTTAATTTAAGATATAAGAACTAGATAACAAGAAGCCTGCTGCGGCCATACAGTTTGTAACTAATATAAGTCTCTGTGTGTTTACTCCGTTGGGTCTGAATGGCTGCGGGACTGGCGGGTGAGAGAGATTTGTCCTGACTGTGGGCCAGGCAGGACCAGGAAAACTCTAGCTACGCTATTTTTTTTTTTTTTTTACATTTTAAACTTTACCATTTGTTTAGTGTGCATGTGTATGGGAGTGTATGCATAAGGATGCTTACAAGAGTTGAGTCTCTCTGTTCTCAGCATGGAACTCAGATCACCAGTCTTGGTGGCAAACACCTTTGTCTGCAGAGTCATCTCAGCAACCTGGATTTTCAGTGTTAGGTGTTTTGTATTCTTAGTTCATTTTTTCCTGGCTCCACACTCACAATCCTCCTGCCTCAGCTCACTTTCTTATTTATTTATTTATTTTTGTATTTTTTAAAATCTTTTTGCATTTTCAAGGCAGGGTCTCACTATGTAGCTCTGGCCGTCCTGGAACTCACTGTATAGACTAGGCTGGCCTTGAACTCACAGAGATCTGCCAGAGTGCTGGGATTAAAGGCATGTGCCATTACGCCATTTGCCTTAGCTTTCTGAGTGTTAGATTAAGGGTATAGGTGTCGTTACTCTATCACAGACTGAAGCAAAAGGCCAAGAGTTGCTAATGGAGATAAAACTTTAATGGCAAACCAGGTGTGGTTGCACACGCCTTTAATCCCAGCATTAGGGAGTCAGAGGCAGGTGGGTCTCTATGACTTCCAGGCCAGCCTGGTCTACAGAGTGAGGTCCTGCCTCAAAACAAAAACAGAAATCAAGCAACCTAACTTTAAAGCCCTGTTTTAAATGCTGCCCTTTTTGACGAAGCCTCCGTTGGAGACATTTGTGTGTGACCATTGTGCTCTACACACAAACACACCCACACCCACACACCCACCCACACACACACACACACACACACACACACACACACACACACACACGTTTGAGAGTGCAATTTGGAGGTAGGCAGAGGTCTCTGGTTTTAGTAGCATCTGCCAGCATAGTCTATAACAAGCCCTTGGAAAGTGGAGCTGGATTTCCTGTGTGTCCTGGCAGTGACCTAAAGTGATGCCCAGTGAGGCTATGGGGTGTTCCAGGCTGAAGCCTCGGATACTGGCTCTCTCCCCTGTGTGATCACTGGTCATCAGGATCCCAGGTAGAATCATAGGGTGCTCTGTCTTCCTTATTAGGCAGGGAATGGGGTTTGGCTAAAAGAATCCAGCCTGTCCTGACATGCCAAGTGCATTATCCTGTCACCAGGCTCCCAAAACCTCCGACTCAACACAGCAGCAGGGTTAGAGCATGGGTGCCCAGGGTGTGGGGAGGGTGCCCACTCCAGAGAGGGTGGACCCACCGGGGGCTGGGGGTTCAGGCTTCTGCCTCTTCATCCCCACTTCTCCTCCTGTGTCTGTCATCTGTCTGTCCACTTTCTTCTTCCTTCCTTCCTTCCTTCCTTCCTTCCTTCTCTCTCTCTCTCTCTCTCTCTCTCTCTCTCTCTATATATATATATATATATATATATATATATATATATATATATATATATATATATATATTTCTCTCTCCTTTGCTTCCTGCCTTCCACTCTCTCCCTTTCTCCTTTCTTCCCTTTCTCTTGATCTACTTGTCTTCCTTCTTTCTTTCCCCCTTCTCTTTCTTTCTGCCCCGCTCCCACCCCCTTAACAAGGTCTCACCGTGTGGTCCGTGCTGATCTCAAACTCAGCCTCCTCCAACTTCAGCCTCCTTGTCGATGGGGCTACAGCTATGGGCCACCATACTTGGCTTGCCCAGAAGTGTAGTAAAGATAAGACGGGGCAATGCTTAGATATGAGCCCCAACTTTGTCACTTTGATCAGCTGACTCAGTTTCCCCAACTGTAGTCCCGGTTGGGTGTAAAATGAAATTTCAGACAGTACGGCATCTGGGTTTTTCCCCCTTGCAACAAGCAGGGTCGGGCACTGCTGATGGGTGGGTTTAGAGTCTGTGTTCCAGGGCCCGTGAAGATTATGCCTTCTCTATGAAATTCCATGCTGGACTGAGGACAGGCTCCCATGACAGCCTGGGACCTTCTTCCTCCTTGTTCTGATGATTTGAGCACATAGCTGAATCTACACATGCCTATTTCCTGGCTTCTGTTTCATTTATTTTTTTCTAGACACTTTGATACCATGATAGACAGGGTAGAGGCAGGCTGAGAACTTCTCTCTCCCTAGTTTTTGCCCAAACTAAAACAAGTTCATTTTTCTATTTCTTCCTATATATTGTGTCATTGTCCCGTAATGGAGTCAAGTGTTTGGCCCCAGAGCCAGGCCTAATAGCCAGAGACTCAGGGATTCTAGGAGTTTAGATGTTTCTGGGACACTGGCTTTTTATGGCTCTGTGACCCTAGCCTTCTGCTATTCTAATGGTCATAGTTGATGTGGTCCTGTGGTTCTGTGGAGTGTGACTCTGTGGTCCTAAAGCA